AATATTCTGTAGGCTTGAATATATTCCATGAAATAAACATAATTATCAATCAAGCCAGGAATTATATTTTATAGGTATTAGTCAATATTGTGATAGATTGTATTTTATTAATGATATAGAGATTTAGGGATGAATCGCCAACTGTTTATTATAACTATTCACTCACCTCATCTGTGACTGTAGTTTGGATTTATATTGAATGTGTCATAATTTTAATATTAGTCTATTATACTATATTATATATTACATTAGGATATAATATTATATCAGTAAACATTTGTATTATATAAGAATTAGTTTTATTATTTAGTTATTAAGTCAATTTATATTTGATAATTAATATTTAATGTATTCCTTGTATACTCCCCAGCCTAATTTTATAACCAGAGCTTTTCCTCCTGAGACATATGTAGCTCTTTTTCTTGTGTGTTTTCTCTACGTTAATAAATTACCATAATTTTACTCATGTTTTGCTTCAATATTGCTACATATTATAAAAATACTATTGCTGAAGAAATTCCATCCAGGATAGTTAAGTATATCATTATAAAATGTACATAGTAGTAGTAAATGATCTAGGTAGTGAACAGGTTACTAATTAACGATTATAATCAGGGGGCCTATTTTCAAATGTATTGAATGAAAAATCTGTCGAAAACATACATTTTATATCAGTCAGAAATTGTATTTCCAAATGATATTTGACTAATTTTTCGATCACTGTTTTTGATAATTTACTGGTATTTTGATTAAATTTGGGTTTTCTATTGTATTATTAATTTTACTGCCTTATTGCGGCTATCACACTCGAGAAGTCAATAAGTTCTTAGAAATTATTTTTTGTATAATATAAATTGCTCATTAGTCAGTTGTTTTTGTATCTGTGTAACTGTTCGCACTTTTATGCTCAACTCAATACATTCTAACGTTATTTTTTTTTATTATTATTTAATTAATATAGGTATATATTTGTATTTAAATTATAGGTAATATAGCTGAGGACATTGATATTATAATGGGGTAGAATATTATTCAAAATAATATAGATTTATGAAATCTTTGCTATTAACATTGTTGTTCACTACCTAATTGAAATCGAGAATATTCTAAAATTGTTTTATTATTATTTATTAGTACTATTGGATCAGAAGTTTATAGGTACATATTGTTTGTGTAATACATTAGTAAAAAAGCTTGTAGAGACTGACACCTTTTATGAATAGTCCAACATCTTCAGGAATAACAATCAAAAGAAAATTTAGTCACTATATTGCTAGTATGTACTTAGGTACATTTTGGTTTGGTTTATTACTTCATTTATTTAAAAAAAACAACAGTATTGAAAATTTATAATATGTTCTAATAACAGTAGCTTTTTAACAAGATATTGGGGAACATAGAGGAGCAGCACTCAGCCAGTTTTCAGTTAGCAGATGTGTAACTGAAGTCTCACAGGCATTAAACAATCCACTGATTTTAAATAAATATGTCTATTTCCCGAACACCATAGAAAAACTTAATATTGTTCAACAAGGGTAATTTTATTTTCCAATAAGGATGTGTTAATTTTAATTTTAACTTATTTGCCAAGTATAAAGTATTCAAGTTAAGTATTGAAGTATACAAACTGGTTTAGATTTTATAACAAATTTGGAATACCCGGAATTATTGGAGTTATACATGGCTATTGTACCACCTAATACCACTGATACTATATATCCAGAGTAGGTACATGTAAACAGAAAAGGTTACCGGAAGGGTCCGGTAGATTAAGCCATTGCGACGAAGGCGGATGCGATCGGATGATCACGTCGAGGTCACCAATTTGGTGGATTACACCAAGATACGAGGTTTATGATAAGGTAATAAGGAAACGTTTATTTACAACATAAAGACATAAAACAAGTGATCGCCAGCAGACCGCTTTTGACGGAGGAAAAGGCGAGCACGCAACAATTAAAAACAACATTAGTTAAGAAAAACAATGTTACATAATAATTATTCGGAGTCGGAAAACAATGTTTTGCGAACGGCGTCGGTGCGAAGAGAGTGAGCGGAGCTGTGGACCGACGTCCGCCGCGAGCGACGCGCAGCGGGAAGAAGAAATGTGGCGCGAAACCCGCCACAGTGTCTACTGAATTTTGTTTATTAATTTAATTGTAATTTTGATTGCTGATCAATACCCAACAAATTTAATTTCAACATGCCATTTCTGTGCAGTCATGCCTCACAATAACAACAATAGTAATAATAAGAATTATAAAACAATTCAAAAACATTTTTTAAACTAAATAGCTATACTATAGTAATATATAAGGAATATAATTATATTTCAATATTTCTTCAATAAGAATTGCTTCTTAGAATTTGTAATTGAAATACTAAAATATACAATTTGTCTGGTTATTACAATAAACGGACAAGACATTTCTAAATACAAACTATAACTGTAATATAAAAACTGATAAATAAAATTTGTAGGTAACATAAAAAAACTGTATACTGGTAAAGCTGGGTTATTCAGCTAGTAAATAATGAAATAATTATAGTGCAGTAAATGGTTTATAGTAAATAACAAAATAAGATTCAGTTAGCCATTACATTTGTTAGCTAGAAAAACAATTTTTAACTACACCAGATAATATTACATTAATCTACTTCCAAAGATTTATGTTAATGTTAATCTGACACCCAAAGTCTGTGCAAAATGAGACGGAATTTTGTGTTTTAAATTTAACAAAATTAAATTACCAAGTTTTTATTTTGTATTTATCCTTAAATTTTACTGATAAATATATGTTGATAATATTATGAAATTATAATAGCATGTAAATAATGGATAATATACATTTATTATTATTATTATTATTATTCCGTGTGCCCTTATTGCTGTTAAAATAAATACACTCACCAAGTAATGAATGAAATTCCACTGGTTAGGTTAGTAATGGCAGATTTAACATTACATACACATAAACTATAAAGAGAAAAACATAAATTTTTTATAATTGGAAACAAAATTACACTGTTCATAAAATATTTGATAATACTCAGTGCATATTAATTTATACATTAAATTAGTAGGTACTTCTATATGTTAAGTTACTCTTGGTTGTATTTTTCTATATTATACTGTTAGAATAAAAATTAATTATTTTTATTTTGAATATTAATTTCAGTGGCACAATTACGTTTACAAAATTGGTTTATGAATTCTACTAAGGATGTAGTTTTATCGATTTATATACAGATTTGAAAAATAATGTTGTATCATTGTGTATGTGTTACCCAAAGAATTAATCTTAGACTGTAAATAATAATAATTATTATACTACAATTTAGGAGTAGGTATATTTAAATATTTAATGCTAGTAAATTGTTTTTCTATATGCATTATCTTTAAACAAAAGTCAAACAATTTAAAGATTTGACTCATAAACCTGACTTAACCTTACCCATTTTTCCCAACCAAAATCTTTCAGAAATTGAATTTTTTACAAAAAAAAAATGTATATCCTAATTGCACCACTGATTAGTTTTATTATTTTTAACAAAATAGTATAAATTGTTTAAATAAAATTTAAAAGTTAATTTTTTTTTTAAAATGCATCACTAGGAAGTTTATAAACATAATGTTTTACTAAATGACATCAGATAATAGAATCCAATGAAAACAATTTCTCATTCGAGCAGTTTACATGCTCTGTGGAATTTTAACTAGTTAAATAACTTCCCAACAGTTAAAATACAAAAAAAAAAAAAAAAAAAAAAAAACAGTATAAAATATTGTTTATGAATTATTGTAATAAATAATGATTTACAACATGATAATATTATGAATGAACTAGATTAACTTTAATAATTATAAATATATGTATAAATATTATTTAGTAAAAATTAATCAATTAAACAATTTTTGTTCTTTTAAAATATTACAATAGTTTTCTCTAATACCTGGTTAATATATTTTTTTCATTTTTATACCAAAATAATTAAAATTCATTATACATTACATAACAAAATTGATGGATTTATTTTAAATCAATATGATGCTTTTTTTTGTTAGTATATTAAAATAAATTTAAATTTTCTGTTTCAATCAATTTTATAAAACTATATAATTTTTTGTAAGTAAAGTTTTTCGTTTTCTTAAGAAGTGAGAAAAGACCGGAGAGTTTATGAAAATAAAGGTTATTTTATTGTCAATTTTATTTTCTTGTTAAAATTCTGTTAAAAATAATTTCAATAATTTCACAGAATACTTATTTTTGGTTTTTTCTAGACACACCTATCCCCGCAATATCAGTTTTTTTTTAACATGTTGAAAAATACTGATAATAGTGATGCAGGAATTTATCAAAATTATGCACTTTTTTATTTCGATTACCTATACGGTTATACCTATTAGAATGTAATTTCGAATTTTACTTCATTTTTCCCCTTCGTGTTTACCTTACATCATAGGCGTGCCCAGAGGGGATGCCGGGTATGCTAGAGCATCCCCTGCGGTCTGCGCGGCAGTTTATAGTTATTAAGTACTTAACGTGGTATTTTATTAGCCTTGTTATAAACAGTAATGTTGATAGTTAAGTTTTCATTTTTTTTTTTTTAATTTTCATCACGGCTTTAGTTAATATCTGTAATCGTGATTTTTTTCAAATACATTTTAATGATACTGGGAGTTGGGAATTGACATAATGTTACTTTGACGCCAGTACATAACCATTCACATTACCTTGCATTGTTGCAGATAATCAATAACCATAGAGCAGTCTGATAACATCATTCGGGCCACGATCTTAGAACAGTTACATGTTTACCTTGCATTAAAACTATTGGTATTAATAAATAAATAACCATAATATTATAGTATTGAGTAGATTAAATTATATATTGTTTTATTAGTTTTTGGTGAGACACACGATGTGTAGATCTCAATCTATTATAACATATTGTAGAATTCTTGACATTTTAGTTTAGAAGAAAAAACCCCCAATACAGAACAGGATACCTTGCCCGAGGATTGTGTAGTTTTTGTTTTGGCTTGTAAGAAAAAATATACATAAAAAAACCAATCAAATTGATTTATAATATATAATGTTACTGTCAGAAAACAATAATAAATAATTATCATATAATATTAAATTTCACACAAAACGCACCGTATGGACGCACTAATATTAAAATAATTAATAATGTATAATAATGATATTGGTAAAGGTATAATATAATAATTTATAGAATAATCACACACAAAATGTTGGGGGTTGTCATAGCATAGGTATGTTATATAATTATTATGTAGGTATTTACCAGTTCCCCTCTTCTCAGAGCATTTAAATATTAACACATTATAATAATGACAATATATTTTTAGCGAATAATATACAACATTATTAGTACTACAAACTAATAAGTATATTAAAGGGGTAATATAGTAATTCATTATCAATACGTATATTATACCTATCATCTACATGATATTTTATTAAATAGATAAACAGGTAAAAACATTGAATTTACAATTTCCGAAAAAAAGGAAAGAAAAAACAATTCCTAACATTAATGTTTCTAACTAGAATAACATATTAATCGTCTCTACAAACACGCAACACACGTATGTAAAAGCCCACACAATGTATAGTAATAATATTATAATAATATCCCACTTGCAGTAATACTGAATTAATTTTATTACAGTACATTTTTATTATTATTTTTTTTTCAAAAAAGGAGTCGATTATTATATTATTCCTTACACACGCAAAAGATTCTTAAACCAAAAATAATGAATATTATTAAGATTATCAACTAATAGGGAGGTATAACATAGAAAGTGTAATATATTACGAACGTGTATATTGTACCTACCTACCAATTACATTTGTTCAACACAAGTAGTTTACCAATATTTTGATTTGACAATGTGTAAACAAACATAGGCAAAAAGTCTCAATATTATTAACAATATTAACGATAAGTATGAAATATAATTCACATAACAATATAACTAATACTAAATAAAATATTATTATTATTAGCAAATAAGCTTATTTAAGACTTGCAATTTTTAACATTAAATTTGTTATTTTAGAATTGATAAAAAAAAAAAATATAGGGACTAAAAATACGTATAAATAAACTTAAAAATAGAAATAAATATATTATTAATTTAAAAATAATATTATCACATAATGTAATACTAGCATTATTCTTATGTATAATGATAAAAAATGTTTGTCTGAACATAAAATATATATTCATAATAATGAATCATAATTAATTATTAATTACTATTAGACGGGTATAATATAGGTATAATATAAAAATCTTATAAACGCTTATATTATACATGCCACCTAAATCTATCTAAAATACTGTCTCCATAAATTATAGGTCAAAATAAAATATTTTCATTCGAAAAAGACCAAACAATTTTTTTAAATAAATAAACAAAAGCAAATGTATACGACTAAAAGTCTTAATATTACCTATTCATCATCTTAACGATAAGTATGATTTGTTATTCATGTAACTATAATACTAATAATTAATGTAATATTATAATTAGCTAATAACACTAATTTTTTAATTAAATTTTTTTTTTTGCGTTCATAGAGTCCAAGGGTCTTAAATTATTCCACTTTTCGCTATTTTTATTGTATTCCAGCTCCATTCTTGCGTTACATTTGCAATATTTGCTCTTAATGGGTCTAACCTTTTTTGCTTATGGTCTTTTTTGGGTCTTTAACCATGG